CTCTAACTGGATTAATAATGCTACCCTCACAGGGATATTGTGAACATGGATATTGGTTCTCCCCCTGCCCCAGAGCTCATTGATACAATCGTAGAAAGGCAAAGAGGCATTAAATTAACTCTAAAAATGCAGCTAGCCTGGTGATTCCTTTATGAAATACAAACAAAATTCTTGATTGAATTAGAAAGGGAGCCTGGCCATCGGCTCAGAAAAAAACTGCCCATACCCCTGTAGGCCTTTAAGTGGCTAAGTCTTCCAGCTGTGGAGTCGGTTCATAAAGTTTAAATTCAGGGGAATTCAGGCCCTGAGTAGTTGTGTGGAAGAAACTCCTGGGTCTATACCAGAGGATAGGATGAGAAGAAGGGAATTTTTCTCTTTTTTTCCTTCCCTTCCCCGTCCCCAAATTCTCACAGCTGTCCAAGGAGTCTAGCAGGAGAGTCACTTGATCAGTAGAATACCCCCTATCCATCAGTTCAGGTGTTAAGAATTGGTGGCAGAATAGATAAATACTCTTTAGATAGATGTGACACACAGAGGCTGTCAGTCATTCAAGGCTTCAAGGATCATGACTCCTGGCAGCAGAAAAGAGAGCTGACTGTAGACTTAAGGGAAAACTAGACCTGACCATCAACCAAGATTCAAGATAGGAAGAATCCACTTTGGATTTTGAAGTTATTGACAGAGCCCACACGTGCTGGTCTGGGGACCCTGAGAGACTGGAGAACTCAGAATCTCAAGATGATTCATAATTTTATCGGTGTGAGGATCCTGGCCAACAGTGCAGATCAAGAGCTACTCCTTGGAATTTGGATCCATATTCTCCCACAAACTGACCACAAGAGGTCCATCTAACACACTATGGCCCTTCCTCAATTTCTATTGACATTTGGGGGATTTCCAGTGGAGAATGTGGTCTGTCCGTTGGTTATTATACATTATATGTTCTTGCTCTCCCCATATAACCAGCTCATCTCCTTTTTAGTTCAACCCATGACGGTCTGGAACAGGTCATGAGGCTGGGAATATTCAGAAGTAAAATTGAGGAAGGCAACCTGCTTTTCCTCCCTTGTCTCCCCTCCTTCCACATAACAGATTTTTTTTTTCATGTCACATATTTCCATAGTCAATATTTTAGAGAAGAAAATATCACTATCCTGGAGATTTTTCTTATGTTTAGGAACAAGGTTCAGGAATGCTGATGTAGCTCAACCCCCAAGGCCCAGGGAAATTACTTGACTTGCTGGAGGTGACACAGCAAATTACTGGGAGGGTTGGACAGGCTCTGGACACAGGGCTCCAGAGACTGCCTTCCACTGCACCATGCTGACTCCATCCTTTGGCCCTATTTAAAAGGAGCCCAGCTTGTCAAGACGAAGGGATTTTTATAATCTTACCATGTGCCTGTGGAACAAAGTCATTAGGCAATGGCTAGGAAGGAAATCTTAGGAAAAGCAGCAGTTGCAGCAAACCACCATTTTAATTACAGAACAAAAGCAAGTAAAAACCAGGAGGGGTGTGAGGTGCCAAGGCCTAATTATAGATGAAATTCCCAGACCTGAGGCAATCAAGTGGCCTTAAGGAGGGGGCTTCCCCAGCTCTGCCACTGACTTCTGGTGTGTCCTCGGGCATGCCATGTATTTCTCTGTGCCTCAGTTTCCTCATTAGTAAAATGAAGGGGTCGGGCTAAAAGATCGCTAATCTCTAACATTTATTATTCCTAGGTCCCTTCCAGTTCTGAGGCTAACCATTCTAAGGCTCCTGCTAGCTTTGCCACTAATTCAACTAACATTTATTCAATATCTATTGTGTGGAGGGCACTGAGTCGCACCCACACTGAAGAAACATCATGCCAAGTGGTGGAGATAGAAAGGCAGAAGAGGAGGCAGGCCCTGTCCTTGGAACAGTCTTAGGAAACTTAAAACACACACACACACACACACACACACACACACACACACACACATGCACTCGCATACCCATACACTCACCCACTCCCCACCAAACTTTACAGATGAGAAACTTTGAGCTTAGGAGAAAAATATAATATAAAGAATCAAATGGGCAGTACTTACATAGTGCTCCAAGGTTTGCAAAGCACTTTATTTATATCATGTCCTCTGATCCTCCTAACAAACCTTGGGGGTAGGTGCTAATGATTATCACCATTCTACAGGTAGGGAAACTGAAGCAAACAGAGGTCAGATGACTTGCTCAGGGTCACACAGCTAGTGAATGTCTACGGCCTGATTTGAACTCGGGTCTTTCTTACTCCAGGTCTAACCATGTCGTAGTATTAAGTGACCTGTCTGTGGTGACTCAAATGTATGAGATGTGGTGACTCAAATGTATGAGAGCTGGGATTTCAATCTTGGCATCTCTTGATGCCAGTTCTAGCTGTCCCTTCCATTATTACCACCCAGTCTCCCCTGGCAATGATGGTGGTGGCTAAAGCCTGGCCTGGATCCCTATGCCCCTGTAACCCTAGGCCCAGCCATTTAACCTTTCCGCTTCATCACTTAACCCCTCCACCCTGCCCTCTGATTCCAGACTGGGGTGCTGCCATGCCCCTTGGAGTTAGTCCTGGCCATACAGCTCAGGTCCCCAGGCGCTCAACTGCCCTGACGCTGATGGTCTGAACTCCCAAATTTTCCTTGTAATTGGCCTCTTGCCTTCAGCATCTTGGCTAAGCCCCCTCTTTCTTTCCCAGGCCTGGAAACTGGCTCTCCTAGACTGTCCATGACCCAGACTTGAATCAAACAATCAATCAATCAAGCATTTATTAAGAGTCTGTTCTGTGCCAGGCCTTGTGTATAGAAAGACAAAGAAGTCCTTGCCCCCGAAGAGCTTACATCCTATAGGGAGAAACATGAAAACATTCAGAAGTATGAACAGAACAAGGAAATGCAAAAACACACACATTAACTACAGGGTTATTTTGGGGGCAGGGCACTAGAGGCTGGGGGCACCAGGAAAGGCTTCATGAAGAGGGTGGTGTTAGAGCTGATGTTTGAAGGCTCCCAGGGTACACAGAGGCAAAGGCGGTGAGGGAGCGAACTCTAGGACAGTGTTTGGGCGGGGGATGATCCATGCAAAGGTGTGGAATGTCTTGTGGGAGGAACAGCAAGGCCAGATTGAATACACTTAGTGTTAAACAGTCACATATGGTTTGAGGTTGAAATGGCAGGTTGGGGCCAGGTCATGAAAGGCCTGGCTTTGAATGCCAGAGGGATCTGTATTTGAGCCTGGAGGTAATTGAACAGAATTACATAGTCGGGCCTGTGCTCTAGGCAGCCAGAGCACCTGTGGCTTCTAGGGAGGATGGTGGCTGAGCAGCTCAGTAAATAGAACCCTGGAGTGTCAGTCAGGCAAGGCCTTAGTTTGAAACCCAATGAGGCATTTACTAGCTGTCTGACCCTGGGTAAGCCAATAAGACTCTCTTGACCCGTTTCCCCATCTGAAAAAATGAGGGGGATAACATCCCCATTTTTAATCCTGAAAGCATTCTATAACGATGCGGTTATTACATAACCATATAACTGCTCCTTATCATTATTATTATTGGAGTGGGGAGATGCCTGCTTGAGACAGGAAAAACAATTAGGTGACAGTTTAGTGGGGGGGCGGGGAGTGGAGGAGTGCCTTTCACCTGGTGCTGAGCACATACACACACTTATTGCTGCATCTACACGACTCTGTGTAAGCTCCCCCAGAGGGCAGGTTCATCCTGGTCCTGGGCCCGGCCTCCTTCCACCCCTAGGCCAGGTCTGGGGGAAGCAGCAATGAGAAAGGTCAGACCGGTTTTCAAAGGTTCTCACTCAGGGTGTTGGCTTAATAACAAATGAGAGATCAGCGAGGAAGAAACTGCTCTTTCTTTGCTTTAAGTAAAAACAGAGTGATGCAATGAGTGAGCACAGATGGCCCCTACTTGCTCAGTCTGCTTGCCAGGAGAGCTAGCCGTGCTTCTCGCCAAGGTCCCGATATTTTCCCCTTCAGGAGTTTAAGAGAAAATACAAACTGGAAGAAGGCTCTTTTGTCAAGGCCTGGCTCAGCTGGCTTGCCTGACCTGGGCTCCCTGGTTCTTGGGCTTAGGACAGCTCTGCCTAATTGTCGGGACTGGCAGGCGGGGCTGGTTTTTTTGACTTTGGGGGTTCAGCGCACAGCTGGACTCTAGGGCCGGTGGGCACTCGTGCAGATGCTCGAGGACAGCGGTGGTGAAGACGGTGGTGGCAGGTTATGTTCTTCTACGTTTTCTTTCAGATTTTAGAGAAACGAACAGAAATAAGTTGGACTTCATTATCCAGGTTCACCAATTATTCTTAACCACGTGAAAGGCAGTTATTTTGTAACCATGAAGAGCATTCAGGGGCAATTGGGAAGGGCCTTGGCGATCATCTCAATCTCTACTTGAACATTGCCAACAAGTTGTCTCTTCACTATGGAAAACCCTTCAGTGATGGGGAGCTCATTACCACAAAAGGAGGTCCAATCTGTTTAGTTTTTATTGCTCTGAAGCAGCCTAGGGCAATAGAATAGGAGGGGGACTTCTTGAGATTAAGCTCGTCTATTAAACAGCCAATATAACCTCATATAAAGTCACTTTTTTGGGCCTCAGTTTCCCCGCTGCAAAATGAAGGAGTTGGGCTAGGTCACTTCCCAGGCCCCTTTTTTTTTTTTGGTGAGGTAATCGGGGTTAAGTGACTTGCCCTGGGTCACACAGCTTAGGCCCCTTTCAGACCTGGCAATCTACAAGATCTGCCTTTCCACAATACTCCTCCCTTCGTTTCAAGTTCTGTTCTCCCGGGCTGAGCAGAATAAAGCGAATCCTCGCTAGGACAGACCTTCCCTAGGTGAAGAGAACTCTCCCATACCCATCTTGGTCTTTTGGTTAAACAGGCCTAGTTCCTTTACCCCATCTCTGCACCGCCTGATTCCTGCCTTCCTCTGTTCATTTTCCTTCGAACAAATACATGCATGTGTTAAAAAAACACGGTCACCACTACTGTAGCTGACTCCATCCGTCTGATGCAGAAAAAGGGATTTATTTTAAGGATGATTTCGCATAACAAAAACCACCACAATATAACATGATGCAAAAGAGGGGAGAGGAAACAAACCCGTTGGCTAACTCCAAAAGCTATTTTCCCCTCACCCAGGGTTAATTCCATACAAGTCTAATAGAAATATAGATTAAAAAATTAAGTACAAAAATAAGCCACGATGGTTTACACAGTGTCCTTCAAGCCAGTGTTCTGCACTGAGAGGCCACGTGGTCTGCCCGCTTTGGAGAGAGAGAGGGGCGGCAGTCACCTGGAACATTCGTTCTGTGCACATCACATAGACAGAGGGGAGGGAGAACACGGCAGCAGTCTCTGTGTTTACAAAGGAGTGAAGTGGGAAAGCAGCCATCATCTTTTAGGAATCGAGAGGAAATGAAGGCTACGACTGTTCTGGGGAAGCCACGGACATCTCAGGAACAAAAATCTTAGGGAGCCTTTGTTGTGCTAAAAGTTAAAGAACTTTGGTTTTTGGCCTGTTAACAAAGGTGTCCCACAGATCTGAGTGACTACCTGTCAACTTCAGTTCTGTAAATGTTTACAAAATCCTTCAGGAAAATGTGAGAACTGACCAAAAGGAGGGGGACAAAACCTGTCACCTAAAATCTTACAAAAAAAAAGTTTTTTCTAGTTCTTTCTTAAGGCACATAGACTTGTAGTAATTCTTTTCCACTGAAAGCTCACTTGAGGGCAAGGTCAATGTGTGAGAGCAGTGCGGTGCCCTCCGAGGGTGTGCCCTGCTGGGCAAGGCTGCAGGTGACAATGGGGAAGCAAACAACCCAGCAGAGAGCTCGGCTTTTGGGGCAGCCTCACACCTCTTAGGCTACAGCCAACCAACCATCTCCAAGGCCTGGGGAGAAGCCCCTGGCCTCCCTGGTTCCTTCCATTCGAGGCTCTTGCACCAGGAGACAGCTGCAGCATTGTCATGAACGTATGAGAATCATGTTTGTAGAAAACCCCAGCCTGGTCTTCTCGTTTGGGTTTGTGAGAACCTGTCACATAGTGTCTGGGGATCCCCGTGGCAGAAAGCCGGGTCTGTGACGAAAGAGATTACAAACTGGCCCAGTTCCTTACTCTGGCCCCAAACCTGAGTCAATAACTGGAAGAAAAATCAAAGGGAGATGACAAGATTATATTGTGTTCCTGGGAACCCTTCAGCAGCCCCAAATATATTACTGGTTAAGAGAAAGGGAATTGCAATGCAAACTTGTAAGTGAAAAAGGAAGACCGTCACACTTCCTGAAAAGGCCTCCAAGGGTGAGGAATCTTTTTCTGACTTTAGTCCGGTATTTGTCAGGACATAGGCAGTAGACGTGCACCAATATGCAATTTCCCTAGCCTGACTTCAGTAAAAGAACCGTTTTCCCTTTATCTTTTTATTTTTCCTCAAATGTAGAGAGGAAGGCCCTCATACTCCCAGAAAATGCCCACCCACTCTCCACCAATTCACCCAACGAAGGGATTTCAGTTTATCTGTCTTTGCAGAAGGTTCCTGGTCCTGGCAAACTGCCCCCCTGCAACCAAATCTAACCAAATCAATACAAAAGCACCATGAGCTTCCTATGTTATTAGTCTAGGGTGAAGTTATAGAGGCTTCTAAGAGATGATCTGGAAACTGGTTACAAGAAGTCGCCTAAAAGAGTGATTCGGTCTGATCGAGGCTGACCACGATGGCCCAAGACAGAGGCAACGGACCAGTCTGCGGCATCTTCTGAGGAGGTCCCCCTGCCACGCAATCTTCCCCTGCTGGCAAGTCCAACGTGTGCACTATGCACCTTGGCAGGGAGAAGTTCGGGGGATGGTGGAATTTCAAATAATCTTTATGGTTTTTAATGCGGAGTAATTGCAAATCAGGCTCTTTTGCCAACAGGGCTGCATCTGGCTGACTCAGTCTTGCCTTAGGTAATCTCAGTTCTCTCACTTCCTGGCTCCTGGGGGGGTGCTGCTGGCCCCAGAGCCTGTCTGAACCTGACTCCTGCTCAGCTGTCAGGGTGAGAAAGAGGGGGTGTCCAAGGCGAGGGCCCCCAACCCACGACTCCTTTTGAGTCTGGGGTTTCTGATGGGCTTAACAGAAGAGGAAGAAGGAGGGCCTCAGGGTAAGAATGGCCAAGGTCAATGAAGCCAATTAGTAACAGAGCCTTTCTAGGGGAGCCATGTTGTCACTGCTGTAAGCTGGGTGCAGAAGGCTCCCTGGCCAGTGACAGCAAAGTGACTGAAGTGAGATGAACAAATACTGGCAGCCAGGCACAGATAAATGTTATGTGCCAAACTCTAAAGGATGCTCCAAAGGAAGCCTCATTGCTGGGGAAGCTGGCCTCTTCCACAGAAAAGTAAAATAACCTTTCCCCCTTTCCAACCCCCACTGGATGATGGGGGAGGGGGTGGGGAGAATAAATGCAAACCAACTTTCAAATCAAGATTAGCAAAAGGAAGGTGCTGGCCATGGCGGGGCACCAGGCAGGGGCAGAGGCCCCCGGGCTCCATCTAAGGCCAGTGGCTCCCAGAGGGGTAGCTGGGTACTGTGGGGTACTCGGGCAGGCTGTTGCCTGAGAAGTTGCTGAACTGTGCTTCCCTGGTGGGTGGGTTCCTCCAGCTGCCGGTGGTCCACTCATCCTGGGCTTTCTGAAAGCTGCCCCCAGAGCCACGGTAGAATCTGTGCACCTGCAAGAAAGATGGGACACAGGAAGGGCATCAGGAGGGAGAAGCTCCTCCTTCTGTTTTTGGAGTCCATTCGGTGTTGGCCCACATACTCAATGGCCTCAACTTCATGCAGATTATCATTAGTAAATAATTTCATAGAAAAAAGGAGTTATGACAATACAGACTTACTAAGTGCTTACTGTATGCAGAGTCCTGCACTTAGTGCTAGCGGGTGGGGGTGTGCACAAACACAAAGAAGACAGGGTCAGGAAAGGCTCATGTAGAAAATGTGGTGGGAGTGAGGAAGGGATGTGCTCCGAGCACAGAGACAGGACGTGGTCAGTCGGGAAAGGAACAGCAAGAAAGCCAGTCTGACTCAACTGCAGAAAATGGGAATCATGTATCAAGCTAGAAAGGTAAGCTGGGGGCAGATGTAAAGGGCTTTAGAAACTGGAGGAACTTTCCAGAGACAATGGGGAACTATGGAATTTTATGGAATAGGGGAATGATACGGTCAGCATCTATACTTTGAGAAAATCACTTTAGCAATTGTGTAGGGGGTAAACTGGAGAAAGGAGGGGTCGGGAGCTGCAAGACCAATTAGGAGACCACTGTAACAATCCAGGTGAGAGGAGACTAGGGCTGGGGGGATGACACAGGAGTAGGGAGAAGGGGACAGGTTCAAAGATGTTCTGGACATAGCAATGGTAAGATCCAGCAACTGACTGGATGAAGGGAGGCAAGGGAGCTGAGGAGTCTAATGAGGAGAATAATGTGGAGGCTGGTGGTACCCAAAAGAAACAGGGAAATTTGGTCAAGGGCTGATTTCTGGGGCAAAGATAATATTTTGTTTGGACATGCAAAGTTTGAGAAGCTTCTGGGATGTCCAGTTTAGAATGTCCAACGGGTGGTTGCTGATACAGGGCTATGGCCTGGGAGAGAGACTAGGGTTGGGCATATAGGTCTGGGAGTGAACTGCATAGAGACAATTAAACCCATGGGAGCTGATGAGATCACTAAGTGAGAGAGTACAGAGAGAAAAGAAAAGGCTTAGGACGGAGCCTCATCAATTCTATGACTTTCTTGTATACCGTCACACGGGGCTTACAGAAAGACTGGACCAATGGGCAATGGAAATGTACCTGTTTCTCCAAAGTTCTGGAAACCCTGAATTCTGTAGTTTTGATTGATGTATGTGAGGTGATAACCAGCATCATGTAACTTGCCTTTCTTCAATTTTTTAATGAGGCAGTTTAAGTCAACAAATATTTTTATACACACACATATATACACATATATGTATATATATTAAGCATTTATCGACAATCTTTATTTTCTATTTTTTTTTAAGTTAGTTGCTCATATCCTTTGACAATTTGTCTGCTGCGGACCAATAACACATCTCATCTCCCTGAAGGTGGGAGAAACCACCAAAGAGTTTTCTATTGAGGGCCACTCAGACTGAGCTGCTGACCAAGTTTCCAACAACAGGGTGTTGGGAGCCAGGGACCACGATATCTCAGTCTGAAATAAACGAAGAGGGAACCTGCTGGGCCTGCCCTGATGCTTCTCCCAGACTCAACAAAGAGGCCGATGAAAGTAAAGTGGGGATCCCCTGGCCTCAGATTCGAGAGGCTGAACAGATGAGATGCTCTCAAGCAGGAAGTTCTGATGATGCAACACAAATGATTGTGGTGAAGAAGAAAAGGCGGAATTGTCTAGAGAGGCTGGTGTGCTGGTAGGGAACTGGTCCAGAAATTTGAGAGTTTATTTAAAGAGAGATATACAGAAAAATGAAAGGGAATGCAGCTGACAGAGAATGAACACAAAAGAACATAATGGCCCTGACAGAACGTCAGTGCTAAAGGCCAGGATGAGCCAGAGCTAGAGCACTGAAGGCCACTGGCTTTTTTGGAAACTGGACTAGAGGCAGAAGAACAAAAAAGGATCGGGACTGATGATAATAAGGGAGGAAAGAAGACAGAATTACCCAACTCCTCTTCTGCTTCTGTTTTTCCCTAACAAGGAGAATTATCTTCAGGACCAAAAGTGGTTAACAGAGAACTGAAACCAAGATAAATGAGGAGAAAGTCATTGAGGGGAGCTAGTCACCAGGCTCAAATGAACCATATTCCAGAGCAACGGAACCAAAAGTGGGTCTACAGAAAGTCTGGCATGAGACCCAAAAGAGCCACATCATCCCAAGAGTGCTCAGAGATGAAACTGCCAGGACAACCAATAGATGTAAAATGGACAAAATCCATCCAGGTTTCTCGGACAACATAATTTTATCATCAGCGACACAGGAACTGCCACAGAGGGACCCTGACACCTCAGGCCCTCTCAAAAGCAAAAGTCATCTCAGAAAGAAGATGTCAAAAGACAGGGAAAGAAATCTCAAATTATAGTAATGCTTAAAAAGACAAGTGAGTGAATTTTAACAGGTACTGACCCATAGACCTTTCTCATCTTTGGACCCTCTTTAAAAGAATAGTCTTCACAGAAATTGAGGCACCCTTGGAGAGACGTAATTTGAGCAGGCCAGACAGGCTAGCTGGGGCGAACACCTTTCCTGCAGAGGCCCCTTTTCCAGTCACTGCAGAGCAAGACGAGGGCCCGATGTCTGTGGCTTACAAAACAAAACCCTCGATCCCCGGGGCCTCAGCAGCTAAAAACACCACTTTGGAGTCAAGGGGGGTCCTCCATGCAAGGTCCAGGCCCAGGCAGGAATCCTTGGTAAGTGCAGTCACAGGGAAAATTCTGTCCAATGACTCCTGAATCACCATCTGGTGAACCATGCCAACAGGGAAGCAGGTATTTTGCCACAGTCCCACAGGATGCTTGTGTAGGGCCCAACAGAAAACAGCAAGATCCTCTTGATGCGCCTGCTGGTGGCCAGTTGGACCCATGGTGTCCTCAAACCTTGGGTCTTCCTTGATGGGAACATTGTTATACGAAAGAGACTGTCTGATCGAGCAATCTACAGAGGGATGAAAAATGCCAACTGTGCAGTCTCTGACAGCCCTGGACAGCCTGTCCATAGAGCAACTATGCGAGCCCAGACACCTCTGGACGATGATAGGGGCACAGAGGAGAAGAAGAAGAAATCTTAGCAGAAGGGACCGTATGTGGAAAACTTGGTAGTGCTTTTTGGTGAGGCAGTTGGGGTTAAGTGACTTGCCCAGGGTCACATAGTTAGTAAGTGTTAGGTGTTTGGTCCGAGGCTGCATTTGAACTCAGGTCCTCCTGACTCCAAGGCCGGAACTCTATCCACACCTAGGCTGCCCCTCAGTGGTGCTTTTAACAAAGCCATGCTGCTCCCCAGTCAATGACCCGCCTTTTACACACGAATGTTCTCTTAGAAATGTTATGTGGATGCAAATCTTGGAATAACACAATGTCCAAGGAATCCAAGTTGCAAGTGACCCAAAGGACAATGAAGACACGTGTGGTGGATCAACTGGGGAATGGCTGAACAAGTTGTGGCATATGATTGTGATGGAATACCACTGTGCTATAAGAAAATATGAAGGAAGTGGTTTCAGAAAAACCTTGAAGCCTTAAATGAACTGATACAAAGTGAACAGAACCAGATCATTGCACACAGTAACAGCAATATTGAAATGATGATGAAACGTGAAAGACTTAGCTACTCTGATCAATACACTGGTTCAAGATAATTCCAAAGGACTCATGATGGCAAATGCTATCCACTTCCAGAGAGAGAACTGATGAACTTTGAATGCTAACTGAAGTATAACTTTTTTCACTTTCTTTCTTTTCCTTGCTTTATTTTTTGGCAACATGGTTAGTACGGAAATACGTTTTGCATGATTTCACACATATGATTGACATTGTATTGCTTGCTTTCTCAATGGGTGGGGGAGGGGCTGGAGGGAGGGAGAGAATTTGGAACTCCAAATTTAAAAAAAAATGTTAAAAATAATACATTTTAAAAATAAAAAAGGTTATGTGGTAAGCACAAGGAAACTGCAGTGAAGAGCAGTGGATAAAAGGCTTCATTCAGAGACAGGAAGACCTGGGTTCAGATTTTGCCCAAGGTATTGATTAGCTGTACAACCCTGAGCCAGTTCCTTCCCCTCTCTGTGTCTCAGTTTCCTCACCTGTAAAATGAGGTAGCTGGACTGGATGGCTTCTAAGGTCCCTTCCAGGTCTAAATCTATGATGCCATACATGATAAGATGGGCTGCATGTGAAGAACACTGAAGAAATGTGTGATCATCAGGGCAGGCAGGGCAGTCCTGCGAGGAGGCTCCCCTGCTCCCCGCCCCTCCCCAGAAGGCCTCTTGCAGTGAAGCAGGGCCTCTGTGGAGGCAACATGGAAGCACCTGAACAAGAATCTTACAGGGTAAGAAAGCTCCCGAGGGTTTGCACTCTATCACTCTGGGGGGACCTGAAAGCCACAGGGACACCCAAAGACTTACCCTCACAAGGATCACACACATCATGGCTGCTGACAGGGTGAACATGATGGCCGGGAAGATCATGAACACGGCAGCCGCAGCGTTTGTCTGGAAGAAGAAGATTGCCGACCACCAGCCACTGTGAGGAAGGAGGAGAGACAGAGGGCATGAGAGGAAGAGCTGGGGAATTTGGGCCATTCACTGTGTGCCTGTGTGTGACATGCAGGAAGCTTCTGCTGCCTGTGTGAACAAAGGGAAAGGAATGGGGAGGGAGCCAGGAAGAGGATTATAGGATTAACCAGGTGGTTCGACACCCTCACCTCACCTGGCCCAGTCTACTGTATCTACACCAAATCTGGGCTTCAGTGGGTGGAACACTAGAGGGTGAGGGGACTGCTAGGTGAAACCACACTTACTGACGATATGCGGTCTACCTCCCGGCCTATTTGTTACACACCCTACTTTCCCATCAGGAAAGGTCCTAGGAAAAACAGGTATGGGGGGACCAAAGATTAGACTGGGAACAATCTCTGGAAATCACCTTGTCCAACCTCCTCATTTTACATGAAAGGAAACTGAGGCCCAGACAGATGCCTCTAGTCAGAGCCAAATGCCTTGGACAAGTCATTTCCTCCTAGTTTATTATCTGCAGAACAAGAGAGATAGACTACACGATCTTGAAGGTCTGTTCCATTCCTGAAAGTAGGGCTTCAGGGAGAACAAAGGGGTTCTCTGAAGAGACAGAAAGGGTGATACAGGAAGGAAGGAAACAAGCATTTAAGAGCCTACTATGTGCCAGACACTATGCTAAGCACTTCACAAATATTATTTTATTTGATCCTCATAACAGCCTTATAAGGTAGGTACTGCTATCACTGCCATTTTACAGGTGGGGAAACTGAGGCAAACAGAGGTTAAGTGATTTGCTGGGGGTCACACAGATAGTAAATGTCTGAGTCTGGATTTGAACTCAGCTATTCTGACTCCAGGCCCAGCATTCTACTCACTGTGCCACCTAACTGTCTCCAGGATGATATTTGTCCTAGAGCTGCACCACAGTCTTGAATGAGGCAGCAAGGACTTCAATAATCAAGAAACCTGTTTATAAGAAGAAAAGTCATTCTCTAACTGATAAACAGTTAAAAAAAAAAAAAGCAAACAGAGTCAGCCTTCCATAAAAAAAAAAAATCCCAGGCATTGAAAGTCATATGAATAAATGCTACAAATTACTACTAGAGAAATGCAAATCAAAAGCAATCCTGAGGTTCCAATACACACCCATCTAATTGATGAAGATGACAGAATAGGAAAATGACAAATGCTGGAGGGGTTTCAGGAAAACAGGCCCATTAATGCATTGTTGGGGGAGCAACGGGCAATTCTGGAAAGCTAGGTTGCACAGTGGATAGAGCATGGGGCCTAGAGTCAGAAAACCTGAGTTAAAACCCAACCTCAGGCACTTACTAGCTGTGTAATCCTAGGCAGGTCACTTAACCTTTGTTTGCCTCAGTTTCCTCACCTGTAAAATGGGGCTAATAATAGTGTCTACCTCCAAGGTTGTTGTGAGGACCAAATCGGATGGTATCTGTAAAGCATTCTGCATAGTCCCTGGCACATAGTGGGTGCTATATAAATGTTAGCTATTATGATTTCGACCTCTGACCTGCAAAGCACTAAGCTGTGTCTATCTTTTGACCCAGCTATATACTATTTCTAGGCCTATATAAAATCCTAAAGAGGTCAAAGAAAGAGGAAAAGGATCCATGTACACAAAAATATTTATTGCAGCTCTTTTTGTGGTGGGAAGAACTGGGAACTTCCCCATCTCTTGGGGAATGGCTAAACAAATTATGGCACATGAATGTAACAATGCTACTTGGTGCTGTAAGAAATGATGAAAGCGTATGGTTTCAGAGAAACCTGAGAAGATTTATGTGAACTGATGCAGGCTGAAATGAGCAGAACCAAGAGAACAATTTATACAGCAATAACACCGTGACAACAAACAACTTTGAAAACCGTAAGAACTCTATCAATGCTATAACAACCAACCGTGATCCAGGACAGATGAAGCTGGCTGCCCTTCTTCTGACATGGAGGAGACAGGCATTTTTTTGGGATGTGGCCAATGGGGGAATTTGTTTGGTTTGAATATATGTATTGTTACAAGTGTTTTTTTCCCTTTTTTCCAGTGTAGGAGGGGAAGATGAGAAGACAATAGATTTTTTTTTTTGGCGAGGCAATTGGGGTTAAGTGACTTGCCCAGGGTCACACAACTAGTAAGTGTCAAGTGTTTGGTCTGAGACTGAATTTGAACTCTGGTCCTCTTGACTCCAGGGCCAGTGCTCTATCCACTGCGCTACCTAGCTGCTCTCACGATAACAGATTTTTAAATTAAAGTTTTAAGAGTCGGGAACCCTAGTCTTTAATCATTGTGGATATGACCAAGGCAATCCACCTAATCTCTCTGGGGCTTAGGTTTTTCCATCCTATAAAATGTGGACTCTAATGGTATGCCACCTGCCTCACTGGACTTATGTGAGGCAAATGCTTTGTTTTGTTTGAGAATTTTTTTTAAATTCGTAACACCAATCCCCCCCTCCCCTGTATTTACATATACATAACAGAACAGAAAAAGAGGAAGGTACATGAAATAAGGAATCTGTTATGTACAGCTTGTTTCTCTTTTAAAATATATAATAAATTCAATGTTTGACTTTTCAAGCTGAAACAAGTACTTTGTAAACTGCAAAGTGCTCTAAAAATCTGAGTTATGATTATTACAGTGGAGTACCAGGGAGAGAAGAGCGAGCTGCGGGGGCTGTCATTCCTGCCCACTGGGCCTCCATCTCTAGGCCCAGGACTCTGTTGGAGGCCTTGCTGCAGCAGAAGCTTCTGGCTGATCAGGCACAGTAGTGCAGGCCTGGAATGGCGGCCACCAGAGAGGCCGATGCTGGTGGACTGAGTTCAGGAGTTCTGAATCACAGGAGGGCCACAGCTGATGTGGTGTCCTCACTGATGTGGGAGGCCATCAGCCTGCCTATGGAGGGGCAACTGGTTTAAGTTGGAAACAAAGCAGATCAAAGCTTCCATGCCTATCAATCATGGGATCAGGCCTCTGCTGCCCTTCCGCCTGGGCAAGACAGGGAGACTCACTCTCCAAAAAGGGGCCTCTGGCCGAGGACTGTGGCTGGCTGACGTTGGTTGGCCTCAATTCCACCCACAGTCCCAAACCCCATCTATAGTGCCAGCAATAACAGAAACTACTGATTCATCCTCATTTGAAAATTTTACATTTGGCAAAAGGTTTGGGTTCCCACTCAATAAAAACTACCTGCTAAGTGAATGTCATAAATGAGCAGCCAGCCTCTGCAGTTCTAATAAGATAGATTTCATTTATTACCTTAATTCAGGCTCAGAAGATGACTGCATTCAGAGCTCTCTGAATAGATGTACAATAAAGCCCAAGTGAATCAACTGCAAACTGTCATTTAAATGAATAATGACGGCCCAGTTTTAGGCAGGGTTTGTGCTGCAGATGCTGTTCTCAGCGCTGGCTGCTTCTGTTACCAAGGGAGAACAGAGGAGCCATCAAGTACACAGCCAGATCCAACAGCTCCCCTTATCAACAGGAGAAAGGCTGTGGTAGCTTGTTTGCTAGTCTGACTTCATCGTTTGCTCTTAGAGACCCAAGGGATTTAGTTCGTTCCTTTGGTTTTTTAACCTAAGGTACTGTGCACAAAACCTTTCCGCTCTCCACTGCTGAAAGGCAGACGTAGCCACAAAAAACTCTTACCAGTGGTGGAATCATAGCACACTGTCCACTGTCACCTCCACCTCAACGACTGGCTCTCCCTTCTGACTTCCTTAATCTTGGCGTCCCTATCTAGGATGTAGTGTGCTTGCAACCTCAAGGGCCCTACCTGACTCCCCTTCCTCGGCCCCACAGTCACCGAGTGTGGCGATTCCTGCTTTTGCTCCAATGCCAGTACAGGCTCTCAACACCTCCCACCTGAAGAGGCTCCTAACGGGTGCCCCTGTCACTGCTGATCCTGCACAGAGTTCCCAGATCGATCTTTTTATTGATTTCATCACTCTTTGGTTCAGAAACATTTCAGCGTCCCAGTTACTCCAATGAGATGTGATTCCATCAGCACTGGCGCTCTCTCCACTCCCCCACCATCCTGGTAGGCTGCAGTGGCCAAACCTCTGGGGGGTGGGTGGGTGGGGAAGGCCTTCTGAACCTGATGAGGCAGGCCTTTGGTGACAGACAAATAATCATCTCCTGGTCTATCCTTCCTGGGCCCAGCCTTTGAGAGCCAGGATGGAGGGTGCCCCACCCCCTGTAGTGTCATCAGGTTAAGCCACCTCTCAGGCCTTTCAGGATCCTGCCTATTACTCAGGAAGGTCTTCTCATCACCCTGCTCATTCCTGCCTGGCCACCTTTGTCATGCTGCATGTTCCCAGCCACCCCTGACCCCTTGGAGCACCTTCCTCTAGTCTCTCTGCCTGTGCAAATTCTATCCATCTCCTGTCAAGGCCCAGCGCAAGACCGGCCTGGGAATCAGGAATCTACATAGAGCAAGGAGACCTTGGAGAAGTCAGTCACCACTTTCTGGGACCTGGTTTCCTCATCGTTTGCTTGGCTCTTTTTAGCCATCTCCACGCTATGCCATCTACTCTCCAGCCTCCATCTGCATCCAGAATCAAAGGTTCCACCTCTGGGACCCTGGGCCCTGACTAGTGACCACTTCCGGGTCACCGATTGACAGCCAGATGTGCAAACACTCCCCCCAATTCTATCTTGGAGGACAGTAATCAGGTCAAAACTATCATTCCAGGTAAGGCCCTGGCTACCAATTACCCCTTAGAACTCCACTCTCCATTCACCCCGACTTCTCTGGCCAAGCTCTCTAGACGTACTGTTTATCAGAGTGGAAGCTTTCTGAGGGCAGAGCTGTCAGCTGTCTTGCTTACTTGGGTTTGTATCCTCAATGTTCTTTCCTTAGCTTATTCATTCATTCTTGGGCACATTCACACTCCAAAAGTTGGGACCCAGGACAGTGTCTGTCTTTCTTGTAGCAGGAACTCAATACAATATTTATGGAATAAAACAGAAGGGCTCCTCCACAGAAAATA